GAACTCACATAGATCCGCCTGCCTCCGCCTCCTGAGGGCTGGGGTTAATCGGCTGTGCTGTATTATTGAATTACCTAACTCAGTGCTATGGCATATAATATGTAGCTAGATCTATAGATTCTTCTTTTTTAATAATTTATTTAATTTTATTTTATGTGTGAAGGTGTCAGATCCCCTGGAATTGGGGTTACAGACAGTTGTGAGCTGCCACGTGGGTGCTGAGAATTGAACTCGGGTCCTTTTAGGAAGAGCAGACGCTGCTCTTAACCACTGAGTCATCTCTCCAGCCCCTAGATTCTTTAATATATGGCACAGTATAACTTTCCGTGCTGTGCTGAGTGTATTATATTGCCTGGTAAATGGTGTATGTGTTCTGGATAAATGGGGATTTCTCTAAGTCACAAGGAATTATACCACGAGCTACAACAGCGTTTCTTAGCTCTTTGGTGGTCCTTACCTGTTTGAAGACCTCCTCCCGCCGCTTCCTAGAGCACGGGTGGGCAGCCACGGTGGCTTGGGGGACTTTTTAGTGGCAGGTCGCCTTCTGCTTCTCCGCCCCACCCTGTGGGCTGCAAGCTGGCCCCTGTGACTGCCCTTCCAGGGGTGGTGAGTCCAGACTGGGCCGGGTTCGGGAACCCTTAGAAAGAGCCAGCCCGCCAGTGGCTTCCAGCACCTTCCCCGGGATCCGCCGGGACCGGGGAGCACAGCCAACGGCCCCACCTTCTTTGCACACTTCTGCTTTTTCTTCTCCTGGGCTAGCCTCAAACAGCCAACATTCCTGCCTCCGTCTCCCGAGAATCCTGCCTCGGCCTCCTGAGCCCTGGAGCAACGGGAAAGCTGCCACACCCACCCAGCACTGTATGGGCCCTGGGGTGCAGACCCAGACGTGTGCTGATCCTCAACACTTTGACCACTGAGGTAGCTCCCCGGCTACTCCACACAGCTTTTAAAAACTGTGTGTGAGTGTGTGAGTCAGTGTGAGCGAACATGAGTGTGTGTGACTGTGGGAGTTAATCTGTGTGTAGGAGAGTATGTGTGTGTGTGTGTGTGTGTATGAGTCTGTGAGTGGGGGTGTCATGAGTGTGAATCCGTGTGTGAATGTAAATGGGTGTGTGTGCATGTGTGTGTGAGTGGGTGCCTTGACCTGTATGGGTGCCCCTGGCGCTGTTATTCAGGCCTCTGCGAACGACCTGACTCTGGTCCTCTGAACGAGCGTGAAGCACTCTTGAGCACTGTGCCAGCGTTTGGGCACTGAGCCATCACCCCCAGCGTGTGTGTGTGTGTGTGTGTGTGTGTGTGTGTGTGTGTGTATGTATGTGTGTGTGCTGGGAGTCAGTATTCAGGCCCTGAGCCTCCAGCCAGTTGCCCGTCCTCTGCTGGAGGTGCCGACCTGTCTCTTACCTTCTCTTCACCTTCTGGAACTTCCAGCTGGTGTGAACAGCACGCGCCCTCCCTGTCTGGCTGACTGGCACTCGTCCCCTGGTGCCTCGAGGGAAGGTGGGAACTGGGATTTTATCGACATCGTTTTCCTGCGTGTTTTTTGCTCTGACTCTGGCTGCCCTCCTGTCGTGGCCGTGTCCTCAGGGGTGTGAGTGGCATCCTAGCACCTGAGTGTTTGCAGACAAGCCCAAGGCCCTTCCTACCTCCTTCTCCAGGCCTTTTCTGTGTCCCCAGGGTCTGTAGACACACTCACACCAATGCTGGGCAGGTGCTAGGGAGTGAGAGAGCGAGAGTGAGACAGAGACAGAGAGCAGGAGACAGAGAGAGACAAAGACAGAGAGGGGCCGAGAGAGAGCCGTATCATTGAAACCCCACACTCCTGGAGACAGGCAGGAGACACAGGAAAGCAAAGAGGAGAGAAGAGAGTTGTAGCGCACCACGGCACCTCCCTGGAAGGGAAAAGTAAAGTCGGCCTCTTGCCTGTGTGAAAGGGTGCCCGAAGTGAACGCTATTAATGGGAAAGAAAGGATCAAACACGCTCTCCGGAGTGCCTTCGCTGGACCAGCTGAAGCACAAGGTTTGGCAGTCATCTGTCACCTGTCTGTTCCACACCTGGGCCCCGCCTTACACAATCGAAGGTCGGAAGGCTTGAGTAGTCTCAGCAGGGCCTGGCCTTAGTGGAGCAGCGGCACACACCTGGAAGCTCAGTGCTGGTAAGGCAGAGGCTGGATCCGAGGTCACCCTTCCTGTCACACTGCAAGTTAAAGGACAGCTTGAGCTTCATGAGTCTCTCAGAACACAAAACAGCCCTGTCCTGCCAATACAGGTATAGATATATCACACTCACACGCACACTTAACACTCACACACACACACACACACACACACACACACTAGTTCTAGGATAGCCAGGGCTACACAGAGAACAAAACATATATACATATATATATGTATATATGTATTCAAAACAAAACATATATACATATATATAGTTCATATATATGAAATCTGTACGGTGTTTTGCCTGCATGTTATGTGTGTGTACTGTGTGGGTGTGCGTGTGGTCCCTCTCAGGTCAGAATAGAGCATTGGATCCCCTGGTACTGGAACTACAGCCAGTCTGGGCCATCGTATGGGTGCTGGGACTTGAACTCAGGGCCCCAGAAAGGACCGCTGGGTCATTTCTCTAGCCTGAAACGTGCCGTTCTTAAGATCCAAAAGAGCAACTCAGCTGTCTGTTGTAAGAAAACTAAAGAAGGAATCATCGCCTTCGCACACAGTGAAAGACAACACAACAACAAGAGGGGGAGCGTACTCACCTAACACCCTGTGGACGACAGCAAAACCGCGAGGATGAGTGGAAGGAGCAACGCCCCACGGTCCCCCCACACAGCAGGTTGCAAGATTAACTTTTATCACTTTTCATTATGTGCAGGCATTTGTGTCTGTGTGTGAGCGCGTGCACAGTGAGTTCAGGGTGTGCACAGGGGCCTGGGGTGTGTGTCAGATTCCCTGCAGCTGGAGTTGGCCCTGGCTGTGCGCCTCCACGATGTGGTGCCGGGGACTGAACCCCTGTTCCCGGAAAGAGCCGCCAGCGCTCTGAACCACCGAGCCATCTCTCCAGCCCCTACATACAACACAGAGAGAACTACCCCGCTGTGTACCGGGCTGCGGAGTGTCATGTCAGGGCAGGGAGTGTCGGGAACTAAGAGAGAGTAAGGATGCTCTGCAGGCCGGTGTGGTGGACACACCTGTAACCCAGCACTCAGGAGGCAGAGGCGGGCGCATCATCGAGTTCTAGGCCAGCCTGGTGTGCGGTGAGTTTCAGGACAGCCAGGGCCACACAGAGAAACCCTGGCTCTGAAGAAGAAAAGACTGTTCTGGAGTCAACTGACATTTTTTTTGGGGGGGGGATTGCAGTGGGGGGGTTGCTCCAGTCTAGGGCTATGTAGACCAGGATAGCCCTGAGCCCAGAGCTCCACCTGCCTTAGGTCCCCCTCCCCTTTACCAAAAGTGCTGGTGTACCCAGTGTCCAGATCCCTCTACCTCCACTTCTCACATGCTGGGGACTGAGGCGTGCAACACCAGGCCCTCCTCCTCCTGCGCTGCTCTTGATCTGAGTATCACCGGGGTTTCCTCACCTAGTGACAACTCATCCACCTAAATACCAGCGTGTGCTCTTATGACACATTCAGATAAAAGAACAAAACATAACACACTTAAAAGCGAAGTCCGTTTCCATGGGCACAAAGTTATCTCTACACAGGAAACGACGGAGACGGACCCGAGCAACGCAGAGTGCTGCACAGCAGCCTAAGGGGAGCAACGGAAGGAAGGAGGGCTCTGAGACCGTCCTTCCAGCTGGCACGGTGGCGCACACCTTTAGTCCCAGCACCCAGAAGGCAGAGGCAGGGGGATCTCTGAGTTCAAGGCCAGCCTGGTCTACAAAGCTAGTTCCAGGACAGACAGGACTACACAGAGAAACCCTGTCTCGAAAACCAACAACAACAAAACCATTTTGTCTGTTTTAACACTGTGTGAAGGGGCTGGAGAGATGGCTCAGGGTTTATCTCTATCAATAACATTTTTATTTAAAAAAAAAAAAATGACCTGGGAGTGGAGAGCGCAGCCCAGTTGGCAGAAAGCACAAAGCACAAAGCTGTAGGCTCGGTCCCTAGCTTTTGGGGAGTGGAGGGTTATCCTCAGCCACAAAGAGACTCTGAGGTTAGCCTGACCCACAGGAAAAACTAAAACACACACACACAAACACCTACCACAACAAAAAAACAGACTCAGTATCAAAAGAAAGACCAAGGAAGGTCTGTGCTTGGTTCCCAACACCCACCAGCGCGGCTCACAACTGCCTGAAAAGTCCTGCTCCCGGGAATCAGGCTTCCGAGGGCCCCGGAAAGCCCACACCCACCGACAGACTCACGCATACACGTAAAGAGAAGTAAAAAGGCCAAAGGTGAGCCTGCCTTTGTAAAAATAATCAAGGAGTCAAGCCCCCAAACCTCAAAGAAGCGGATGATTTTTACCACGAAAGGGATGAAATGAAAATGTTTTCCAGGTATAAACGCTGTCCTTCAAACCAGCCATGCTGCACACAGGCACGCCTGCAATCGTAGCACAGGGGAGGCTGAGGCAGGAGATTTGCTGCGAGTACGAGGCCAGCCTGAGCCTCAGGAGAGGCTGATTTAAGAGAGAGAGAGAAATTTAGACTTTTCTTCTGGGCCTGTTTTTGCATAAAGGTTAGCCATACTTTTTTAAGGCTGGTTGTGCGTGCTTGTGTGTGTGTGTGTGTGTGTGTGTGTGTGTGTGACCGGGAGAGAGAAAGATGGAGAGATAGCTAGAGAGACAGCTGAGGGGGGTAGGCAGCACCGGAAACCTCAGCGGGCAGGGATCCCCGTGGAGGGGGAGGGGAGCGGAGCCTTTGCTCTGTCCCCAGCCTCTTCCTTCCCCCTGGCCTGGGGGTGGGTTGGGGAGGGGCAGTTCCTCTTTCCTTCCTAAACACCGAGGACGCCCGGGCTCCCAGGGGCCTGGCGATCTGGTTAGGGAAGGCTGTGGATCCCCCTCCTGTCAGGACCCCCTCTGGCCCCTCCGAGAAACATGAACCGGAAAGACAGCAAAAGGTAAGAGGCCCCTCCCCAGGGAGAGCCGAGAGCGCCAGGGTCCTGGCTCCATCCTGCTGCGGAGAGGTTGGGGCGTCATGGGGGGCGCCCCTCCTCCACGCCCCCGAGCCGCTGCCTCTCCGGAGTGTGAACGCGTCCCTCCATCCCAGCCCTCAGCTGCCGCGGCCTCCCCCGGGGTCTTCCCCGTCCCTGTTGCGGTCCCTGCTTCCTCGCACCTCCCCGCCGCGACGGGAACCTCCAGGCGCCTGCAGGCTCGCGCCCCAGGAGAGGGCTGGGGACGAGGGTCTAGGCAGCTCCCGGCCTCTCCAACCACTCCGGCTGCTCCGGGCCTGCGGGGGGCTGGCAGGTCGGGGGGCTGCCCGCGCCAGCAGGGTCTGAAGTGGGCTTCTGTCCTGGCTGCTGCGCGCCTGCTCCCAGGAGGGTGGTGCTGGCACGACCCGGAGGAGCAAAGCGCTTCAGGACAGCGAGCGGATCCCAGCTTCCCCGAGCCATCCCGGATGCCGCTTCGGAGGGGCTTGCCAATTCGTCTCTCTCTCCCCTCCGTCTCTGTCTCTTTCCCTCTCTCTTTCGAGACAGGGTTTCTCTATGTAGTCTTGGCTGTCCCGGACTCACTGTAGAGCAGGCTGGCTTCGAACTCACAGAGACCCTTCCGCCTCTGCCTCCCCGAGTGCTGGGATCGCAGGCGTGCGCCACCACACCCCGCCTGGGGCTGGCAGATCTTACTCTGCGGAGACCGCTGGTTCCCCGGGGTCAGCCCTTGCTGGCGGCCTGAGGCCCGCGCTCCTGAGTGCCCGGAGGGTGGTGCGCGTAGAACTCCGTGTGGGCTCCTGAAAAGCACCGATCCCCACAGAATGCCCCGCCCCCTGCCTGCTCCTAGCCGGGGCTCCGCAGGTGCCGCTATTATTTAACATTTAACAGCTATATTAAGCCCCGACGGGGCTGCTGGGACACGGCAGATTTATTTTAGGATATCCCTGGCGTGTGACTTCTCACCCATGCCCTGCTGCTAGCCAACCTGCTTCCTCCTTGATTGTTTTTGTTTTGTTTGGGGATTGAGTTTTGCTCCGTAGCCCACGCTCGCCTCAGGCTTGGAATCCACCTGCCTCAGTCATACACACACACACACACACACACCCCGCAGCTAGTATGGAATCCACCTGCCTCAGTCATACACACACACACACACACACCCGCAGCTAGTATTACAACCGAGCACGGAAACTTTCACCTTTCACTCCCTTCCTATCTTGAGGTCAGCTTCCCCACCAACTGGGTCCCCTTGAGGATCCAGGCTTCCTAACCCCTGGGGGAGATCCAAGGATGACGCCGCTTTTTTATATGGAGACGACAAAGGCCAGAAAGACGCTGGGTAGCTTATTAAAAGGCACACAGCCAGCAGAAATTTCGAGAACCCAGTTTTGGATGACTCTAGATTAGACTCTACCCCCTCCCTCCGTCCCTCCCTTCCTCCCACCGCCCCCCTTCCCCCCACCTGGGACAGATACCTAGGGAGGCATAAGACAGGAAGGGTTATTTTTAAACTTTCCTTGAAGCTGCTGTGACCCCAGGGACCCCGCCTAGCTCCGAGGAGCCCCTGAGAAGCTCTGGGACTTCTGGGCTCTGACATGTGGGGAGCAGACTAGAGGCTAAGACTGTTGGGCAAACCAATGCCAGCTCGGGCGAGGGGTCTGCCGCCCTGCAGGGGCTGGGGTGGCAGGGTAGGTTCCGAGAGGCCTGACCTCTCGGCTCCATCCGTGCTGGTTCGCAGAGGTGTGAGTCCTACAAAACGGGGTCCTTTCTGGCTCTGGCCAACCCGTGGGACATCTTGGGTGGCCAGCCCTTGGTCCTAGGGTCATTTTCCTGGGTTCCTTGAAAACTCAGGCCGAATCCTGGGGGTCTGCCCACAGCAAATTTGTGATACTTTAGAACTGTTAAGAGGAATTCGAAGGGAGGCGGCAGAGACGGCAAAATACAGGTTTCCGTTTACGAGTGACACCTGGCGTTAAGCATGTGCATACACACAGACACGCGCATGCACATGCGTACGGCAGGAGGGCAGAAGGCCATCATGTGGGAGAGGGAAGGCACCGACAAGATGAGGGAGGGCAGATGGGTGACAAACAGGAGCCAAGTGTGGGCACGATGACGTCTATTACCTGTGAAGATTGTCACAGTGGGCCACCATTTTGTGCACTAACTGTAAAATTAAATACAAAACAAGGGCTGAGTCCACGCGTGTAGGAGGGGTTAAGCTTGGAAGGTTGGTGGTCCCGGGTCTCTGGCCAGGATTGTCGGGGAAATCTGCAATATTTGGGGGCTTGTTGCCCACGAGTCCCTAGTGGGTAACCCTGAGGTCTGATCTGTGCCTAGAGGAATTGGGGTCAAGAAGCATTCTTGGAGTGTGCTTGAAGGAAGAGGCTCCCGTGATGCTCTGCGGTGGGGTTCTGTGTGTGTTGTACCTACAGGAAGTCTCACCAGGAATGCTCAGGGAAGGCAGGAGGGCGGGGCCGGCCTCGACAGGCCCGCCGCCACAAGACATGCCCCACCCCCCGGGAGATCAGCAAGGTTATGGCGTCCTTGAACCTGGGAGTGCTGGGTGAGAGCAGCTGCAGCGAAGAGGAGCTTCTAGAGAAATGCATCCGGTCCTTCGGTGAGCAGCCCTGCCGGCGGCCACTCGGCCCTAAGGCCCTGCCCAGCACGCCTCCCATAGCCTGGCTGTACGGTGGAAAACTGCTGAGGAGGAGGAGTCTTGTCTCTGTGTTGTGTTAGTGACGAGGAGAGCTTCTGTCAGGGGCTTTTAGTTCTGAAGGCAGAAGGATAAAGTTTCCGGTCTAGCTGGCGTGATGTGGCGCACCACATTGATCCCAGCCCTCTGGGGGCAGAATTTGAGGCCAGCCTGGTCTAAATAGCACGCTCCAAGCCAGCCAAGGCTATACGTAGTGATATCCTATCTTAAAAAATAATAATAATAAATTAAGGGCTGGAGAGATGGCTCAGAGGTTAAGAGCACTGTCTGCGCTTCCAGAGGTCCTGAGTTCAATTCCCAGCAACCACGTGGTGGCTCACAACCATCTATAGTGAGATCTGGTGCCCTCTCCTGGCCTGCAAGCAGGACACTATATATAATAAAGAAAGCTTTAAAAAATTGATTAATAGAGGGGCCGAATGTTAAATCATGGCCTATGTGTGTGTCGCCCGGGTCCAGGCTGATTCTGCTCCCCTCTTCCAGATTCAGCCGGCAGCCTGCGCCGCGGAGACCACTTTCTCAAGATGGTCCTGACGATGCACAGCTGGGTGCTGGGCTCCTCGGACCTCGCTGCCCGTCTGCTGACCTCATATCCTCCCAGGACCATCACCTCCATCCAGAGGGCTGAGGGCAGACTGTAAACACCCGGGAGATGGGCAGGGGGAGTAGGCAATGGGGACGCTGGAGAACGGCCTTGACTTAGAACTCAAGTACCAGAAGGCAGTCAAAGATGCCCAGGAGCTGAGGCAGCTACAGATCTGCTACCTGGTCAGGTGGGTTCGGGCCAACCCCCTCAATACCATGAAACTCCTCTCTGACCCCCCTGCCTGGTGTCTGCTCCAGCTCCACACACTCAACCTCCCTTTCTTTTTCTCTTTCTTTTTCTTCCTTCCTTCCTTCTTTCATCCTTTCTTTTCTTCCTTCTTACCTTCCTTCCTTCTTTTCTTTCCTTCTTTCATCCTTTCTTTTCTTCCTTTCTTTCTTTCTTCCTTCCTTCCTTCCTTCTCTCTTTTTTTCCAGTCAGGGTTTTCTTAGCTGGCATGACCTCAGGTCAGCCCTGGCTGTCCTGGAACTCATTCTGTAGACCAGGCTGGCCTTGAACTCAGAGACTGGCCTGCCTCTGCTTGCCAAGGGCTGGGACGAAAGGTGTGTGCCACCACCGCCCAGCCTTTTTTTTTTTTTTAAAGCTCATTTTCTAAATACCCATGCCGAGGCTCAACAGGCGTCTCGGTGGTTAAGAAGAGCACTTGCTGTGCCTTAGAGGACCCGAGTGCAATTCCCAGCACCCACATGGTGGCTGATGACTGTCCCGTTCTAGGGCACCAGACATACATTCATACCTGCAGGCAAAGCACTCATGCATACAAAGTGGACAGGAAAATTTAAAAACACCCCTAATCTGAGTTCCTGAGACCCCCCCCCCAACACTCTTCAGAACACACGATTCTTGGAGATCTCTGGCCAGACCCCATAGGCCCGCCCAGGTGAGACTCACTCCCCCATACCCCGAAAACTGCATCGCCTTGACTCCCTAAGTCTCCCCCAGTCTAGTTCCTGACGCCCCTACTGTCTCTCGTCCCTATCCTGTTTTAAGAGCCCCCGCTCCTACTCCAGAGGTCTCCCCATCCGTTGGGTCACCCCTCTAAACCCGGACTCCAGCCGCCATGTCTAGGGCTCCTTAGCCGAAGGCCCCGTTAACCGCCTCACCCTCATGCCAGCTCGAGTTTACCTCCCATCTCGGAACCCGCCCAGGTACTGGCAGACCCATTACCCTGAAGCCCTGCACCAGGAGCCCCAGCTGGAAGGAGTCATAGGTCGGTTTTGGGCCACTGTAGCGCAGGAAGGCAGCGTGACGCAAAGGAGCCTAGGAGATGGCTCCAGCCTGTGAGTCAGCCCCGCCCCCTTCCCTGCCCCACCCCCACCCCCACCCCCACCCCCTCAACCCTCCGATAAGCTGTCCCTGGCTTCCAGCCTGAGTCCCGGAGGGCCCGGCCCCCCAGCTCTTGTGAGCAGCCCAGGCCTGGGCAAGAAGAGGAAGGTCTCCCTGCTCTTCGACCACCTGGAGACGGAGGAGCTGGCTCAGCACCTCACTTACCTGGAGTTCCGGTCCTTCCAGGCCATCACGGTGAGAACAGCTTTCCAGTCTGCTCCGAAGCAGGAAGCAGAACGGGGGTGGGGGCTGCTCCTAGGCATTGCAATTCCACTGTCTTTAGTATTATCAGTAGCACAGTTCTGTTCGCGGCGCTGGTCACTGACTGAAGTCCGAGTCTCGCTGTGGTAGGCAAGCTCTCCGAGCCACGTCCCCAGCCCAGATCATAAATTCTTATTTGACACAGGGTCTCCCTGTGTAACTCTGGCTGGCCTGGAACTCATTCTGTAAAGCAGGGGCTGGCCTTGAACTCAGAGGTCCGCCTGCCTCTGCTTCCTGAGTGCTGGAACTGAAGGTGTGTGCCATCACTCCTGGGTACACACTGAATGCTTTGTTGTTGTTTTTCCAGACAGGGTTTCTCTGTGTAGCCCCGGCTGTCCTGGAACTAGCTCTGTAGACCAGGCTGGCCTCTAACTCACGGAGATCCTCCTGTCTCTGCCTCTGCCTCTGCCTCTGCCTCAGCACTGCCCAGCCAAAGAGAACCCTCTTAAGTGGGTCAAACTGGGCCACAGGAGGGTCTAAGACAATGAGTCTTGAGTTCAAATCCCATTGCCTTATTAACTGTGTTTGGAAGACATGCTGGATACAGTATGACCTGTAGGGGTCTATCTTCTTGTTCTATCTCGTGGGTCCCAGGTTCGAGCCCCCATAGACATTTCTTCTCCCCCAGCCCCCCGCTCATTCCTCACTACCTGTCTGCCCCACTGTGTGGAGATAGAGGTCTTATGGCCTCCACCTGTGTCCAAGGGTGAATTTGAGCTCTTTCCCACTCCCTCCACACCTAGTCTTAGAGATGCGTGCCAACACAGCTGGTCTCTGCAGAGCTGCAGATCAGGGCTTTGTGCATGCCAGGCGGGCATTCTGCCAAGGGCCTGGGTCCCCAGCCCCTCTCAGGTCCTTTTTACCTGGCTAGCTTTGAGCTGGTTTCCCTGCCTCTCAGGTGACGCACTCATAAAATGAGAGAAATAAAATGAAATGAAAAAACCGCTTAAAGGTGTCCATTGCCCTATGTCGTGGTGGCACTGAGGAGGCTGAAACTGGAGGGCAGGAAGCCCAAGGCCAGCATGGACTCCCTGAGACCCTGTCGCAAAAATGCCCACTGCGGTTCAAACACAGAGACGAGCCATCAAAGTTATGATTGATTATAACTGATTAACTGATACTATATTTATTCGTTTAGTCACTGACCATTTCAAGCCACCGCACCTCAGCTCCCCCGTATGGGGAGGTTGGGAAATTAAAACAGGGTAAATACGGCTCCCACCCAAGACCAGAGCGTGGTTCAGAGGAAACACCATCCCAGGAAAACCTTTGAAATTGCTGTATTTCACTTCCCTCAGGGCAGCTGCGTGTGCCTCTGTGTTGAAACGTATCAGCCGCTAACATCTAGACACTGTTTTGAAGGAAAGTGGGGAGCTGGTTCCTGTAGGGGACAGATTTCCAGGCTGGGCTGTTGGGTGTGCATGCGTGTTTGTGCGTGCACGCACAAGCGTGTGCTTGTGTGGTGTGGTGGATGCTGAGTGTGGAATGTACGTGCTGTTGAGCAGAACAAGTAGAAGCCAATTTCTTTTTTATGGTTTTTAATTTTACTCTATGTGCATTGGTGCGAGGGTGTCAGATCCCCTGGAACTGGTGTCACAGACAGGTGTGAGGCACCGTGTGGGTGCTGGGAATTGAACTCAGGACCTCTGCGGGAACAGCCAGTGCTCGTGACTGCTGAGCCATCGCCCCAGCCCCTGGAAGCGGCTTTCCAGTCTCCTTTCCAATCATTCCCTTTGCTGACCTCACTGCAGTCAGGCATGTAATAACGAGCACCCACGCTGGAGAAGGATTTGGTGATGCCGAGGACCCACAGCAGCCTGTGGGGAGACTGAGGCTAGACCACGCTAAGGCGTTAGAGGTTGGGGCTGCCAGAAGGACGGAGTGTGAGCCTCACGCTCCAGCCTGACCCATCCTGCCCTCAGCCCCGAGACCTGCGGGGCTATGTTTTGCAGGGCTCGGTGAGGGGTTGTCCCGCTCTGGAAGGGTCCGTGGGTCTGAGCAACAGCGTGTCCCGTTGGGTTCAGGTCATGGTGCTGAGCCGCCCCGGGCCCGCACAGCGCGCCCAGGTACTGGACAAATTCATCCGCGTGGCACAGGTGAGCTCTTGACCACCCCGTCTTTCCGTTGATTTGTTTTGAGGCAGGGTCTCTCTAGGTTGCTCTGCCTGTCATGGAACTCACTTGTGTAGACCGGGCCGGTCGCAAACTCCTCTCTCTGCCTACTGAGTGCTGAGGTTCTTAACGGCATGTACTGCCATGCTGGCTTCTACCTGCTTCTGGGACTGTAGAGTTGGGACAGCGGTCTGACCCTCCATGTTGCAACTGACCAAGGCTCCAGGCCCTTTTTTAATTATGTTAAAGTGTGTGTGTGTGTGTGTGTGATGTGTATGCATATGGCACTGAAGTTACAGGAGGCGGTTGTGAGCTGCCTGATGTGGGCACTGGGAATGGAACTCAGGTCCTCTGCAAGAACTGCATGTGCACCTAACCACTGGGCCATCCTTCCCTGGCACCAGGCTCTGGATCCAACGGCCATTTACTAGCCACCACCCCTGTGGCATCACACCCTCAGAGTCCACACTCCTGGGATCTAGCTGGAGACTGTGAGCTCAATTCCACAGTTAGGCCTTGCTTGGCCCCACCAGCTGGCTGGCTATTTGGGAATTAACACGGCTGCCCAAGCCCCAAACCAGGGATTCTCTCCCTGCTGCAGAGAAAGGGGCCTTCCCGTCCCCCAGCTTCGCGTGTCCAGTCCTCAGGGCCCCCTCTGTGTCTTTGGGACAGCGACTGTATCACTCTTGCTGATACTTAGATACAGAGGGACAGTCCAGCCTCTCTGGCCCCGACCTGTTGAGTCAGCCTCCTCTCTCTTCTGGGAAAAGGGAAGCCCTGTGGTCAGGCCTCTTTGAACATCTCCGAAGCAGACCACACCCTTCCTATGAGCCTCCCAGCGCCTTGCTTCCTCTTGCTTGGCCATTTGTGTCCACGCTGGGGATTGAACCCAGGACCTCCTGCACTCCAAATAAGCCCCTTACCGAGCCACATCCCCAGCCCCCGACTGGTAGGTTCTAAGCAGGTGCTCTGCCACTGAGCCATATCTTGCTGGGCTCTCCAGACCAGGGCGGGGCTGGCATCAGCCTGTGTCTCCTTGGGCTGAGCATCTTCTGCCTGGTCCCACCTCACCTCTGTCCACTGTGACTTCCACCCCTCAAGCTTAGACTAGGGGCAAGGGTTCCCGATACCTGCGGACCACACGCCTGTGCCACAGCAGGTCACTATTATCCTATTCAGTTCTACCTGGTGCCCAGCCCCCACCCACAGTCCATGCCCTCACCCCAGTGCCTCTCAGAATCGCTCGACCCCCGGAGCCTGACACATTTCTGAACTCTCTGCACCTGCCTGACTCACACCTGTCTAGCCTCCAAGTCTGTCCAAGCCCAGGTTACACGCCTGGCCCCTCCCCAGTCCAACCCACTCGCCTGCTCACAGCGGCCCACGAGCACACGTGACCGAAACGCCTAGCTCAGGAGCCCCCTGCCCCACCCCGTTCCCCTGTCCTGTGGTACCTTCCTCTGCTGTTCCAGAGGCTTCACCAGCTGCAGAATTTCAACACACTGATGGCGGTCACGGGGGGCCTGTGTCACAGCGCCATCTCCAGACTCAAGGACTCCCACGCCCACCTGAGCCCTGACAGCACTAAGGTAACCCCGGAACTCCCCAAAGTCCAAAGCGGTCGTGTGCCCTGAGCCCTCGCACATTACTCAAGGGCTCTGGAACCAACCTAGGACCCTTCTCCAAATTCTGTAGACCCCTGGCTAGCCCGTCCCTTTCCCCAGGCCACCTACGGCAGCGGTGCGCCCCAGAGAAAGCCCTGCTCCTCACTGGGAGGTTCTAGGCTAGTGAGCATCCTTCTGTGGGTGGAGTCCAGATTCAGGGGCTCGGAGCCCCCGGGAGCCTCGGAACAGACACTCCGGCCCACAGCACGCTCTTTGCACACAGGCCCTGCTGGAGCTGACGGAGCTCCTCTCCTCCCGCAACAACTACGCCTGCTACCGCCGCACCTGGGCCGGCTCTGCTGGCTTCCGGCTGCCCGTGCTGGGGGTCCACCTCAAGGACCTGGTGTCCCTGTATGAGGCCCATCCGGACAGGCTGCCGGATGGCCGCCTGCACCTGCCCAAGCTGAATAGCCTCTACCTGCGGCTGCAGGAGCTGGCAGCCCTGCAGGGGCAGCACCCGCCCTGCCGCGCCAACGAGGACCTGCTGCATCTCCTGACGGTGAGCCGTGGGCCCTATGTTCCCTGCGCTCCCTGAGACCCCCAGGGACCACTGGGCACCTGCAGAGCCGGGAGAGGTAGTTATGGGATGAGAGGTTTTTGGTTGGTCGGTTTGCTTTTGGCTGTATTGGGGATTGAAACTAGGACCTCACTTATAATATGGGAATACTCATTCACTGAAACACACCCAGCCCCTCACTGGGGGATCCTAGGCAGGGGCTCTACCACTGAGCCACACCCCAGCCCCTCACTGGGGGATTCTAGGCAGGGGCTC